GAAGTTGATGAAGTTTGTGTCAACCAGGATGTGATAAGGCGGCCCCAGCTGTGTATTATATTGGAAGAACAAGCAAGAAGGATGCTGTGGGCTGCCAGGAAGACAAAGAATTGAATCGGTTTATTACAGTTGACAAGATGTCCAATCCTACAACTTGCACTGAATGAAAGAAGGGTAGCGAGCAGAAACAAAAGAAGGCAGGATGGGATGGCGACCCGTAAATTGTTACACTGCCTCCCAGGCTTGACCCCTTGGTTTGGGCCACCATTTCCTACTCTAGCAACTTGGCTGCAGACTGCAGCATGGCCTGCCAGCCCGCCCTCCCCAGAGCGTCGCCAGCACTTACACCTCCCGCTCCTTGATGGCACTCGGGTCCTCCTTCTTCTTCACGCGGGCTTTCGCCCGCTCCTTCTCGTTGCTGCAAGGAAACACAGACACTCCTGGGGAGGGCAGCCAGTGTCAGAGGGGCCTGGGCCGGAATCCCCTTTCTCCCTCCCGGGACACGGAGACAGCTAGCCCCACACGGGACCGGGCCCCGCCGCAACCGCACTCACATGCGCTGGTCCCGGAGGCTGATCATGCGCTTCATGACCGCGTACTTCCGCGCCTTCTTCTGCTTCCCCTGCAACGAGACAGACAGGCAGCCACGCTTACCCAGGAAGAAGGCTCAACCCGAGACCCCGCGCCCAACGCCCGGCTCACCATGCTGCCGCCGCTACCCCGCTGCTTCCGGTGCCATCCCGTCGCGTCACCGCGCTCCGCCCCGCCGGGATGCTCCGGGAGTGCCGTCACTTCCGGCCGGCAGCACCGGGCGGCGGGAGTCTGCGCCGGTCGCGCACAAGAGCGGGCAGCTTTGCGGCTGCCGCCGGAGCCCTCGGTAACGGTGCTCCCTGTCCCGTCCGCGTCCCGGGGAGGGATGGGGGGCGCTCCGGCTGTGAGAGCGGGGCTCCCGGGCCGAAGAAGCTGCAGCCGTAGCGCGGCCGCCCCGCAGGGTCGGTCGTCCCCCCTGGAGTGGCGGCCGACGCGGCCTGGCCCGGCCGCGGGTGGCCCCGCTGCCGGCCCGGGGCGCCCGTGCTGGAGACCGCCCTGCCGCTGCCCCGGCAGGCCTGGTGCAGCTGCGGCGAGGGTCCCCGCTCTGCCGGCGGCGGGTGGCCACCCTCGGAGGGCCACGGCGGGGCCGGTGCTCCCGGTGAGCAGAGAGCTGGCGCTGGCCATCCGCGGTGTGAAGCGCGGTGGTCTCCGCGTTCTCTTGGTTCGGCCTAGCCGTTTGCTGTCGGTGTGTCGGTGGCAGGTCGCGGGGGCTGGCGCCTGGGGAGGCCGTGGGGTGCGTTGGCACCAGCTGATGCAAGCGCGGGGAGCCCAGATCACACCGATCGCCCTTCTCCCCTCCGTTTCTGTTCACGGGGCTGGGAGATTACAGAGGCGGTCAGCCGCTTTCAGAAGCTTGCTGGGCTGGCATGATTTGAAGAAGTGATGTAGTGCTGGCTTTGCTGTGCTCTGGCTGGTAGATGCCTACATTAAAAGCAATGCGTTGTCATCCGTAGATCTTGACAGCAGTTGTGACAAGTAGGCACGTTTTCAGCAGTGGTTTCTGCAACTGTAATGGTGTAGTTTGTCTCAAAATATCTTTTCTGCACATGTAAGGGAACATTCTCCAAGTTCTCAGACTAGTCCGTGAACCTTGGTTTCTAGTGCCCTGCGCTGGGAAGGTGAAAGAGAAGCCACCCTGTTGTTATCTTTCTTGTGTAAGCTTTTGAGATTAGTGAGAACTTGTAGCTGTGGGTATCTTCCAAATGCAACCGCTTTTATTTGGTGTCCTGGTCAGAAAAAGCAGCTATGCAGCCAGTGAGGTATTATGCAGGAGTGTTCTTCCTGAAGCACTGCCCTCAATAGAACTATGACTGAGGCTCTGATAAGGAGAAGGAAAACTAGACTGAAAAGAGAACTGGGTTTGTTAGCGAAACCACAGCTGAACTGGTGATTGTACCAGGCTTAATTGTTTGTTGAGGACACACGGTGTGGCTTCTCTGATGCTGCTTAAGTGACCCAAATGGTTTGGGTGAAGGCAATAATCGAGGAGGAAAGGGATGATCTGCTTTCCCCATGGGTGGCAAGAGGCTGAATGTTGTTCTGGCTTAGGGAGCTGATCTGATGTCAAGATGAGGCTTGCCTGAGAGTTACCGCCTGTCTGGCTTGCTGTGTTTGAGAAGGACAGGGAGAACTGACAGCCCTGATGGCGGTTCCGTTTTGATTATAAGTCCTTAGACCAAGGCGGTTGGCAAAAGTCTCCTGTGTTGTAGTTGTTTTTTTTTTTTCATGTTCCCACGATTTTACTTGGCTTGTGTGTGAACGTGTATGACAAAATTCCAGCCCTGGTGAGAGAATGACTGTTTTGTATGGACACTGGCCATTGATGTGGCTTTTGTCCTTGACAGCTGATACTGGAGCCTGCTCAGTGCTTTTTGCGCTGACTTTTTAGTCCTCTGTGGGTATATTTTAAAGCTAGGTTCCCATGGGCATTCCTGTTTGTTGGTTTGTGCGTGCTTTACTTAGTGTGAGAAAATACTGTGCCTTCTCACTCAAAAGAGACTTGCCCTGTGCATGGCATGAGATCCATATGCCATTGGTGGTGGACATTTGTGTGCATGGATTGAGAGGACATTCCGTATAGGGATGAAGAGTTCTGTCATCTTAGGTGGATGAGAGGTTTTTAATCCCTCTTTCTTCTTAATTTTTGGAATTTGTCAGGGCAAAGAAGAAAGGAAGTTAAATTTATCAGTGCACCAAAAAAAACCATGACACACAACAGATTTCCTAGGACCTCAGAAGATCAGTTCTGTATAGCATGCCCCCAACTGGCTTTGTAGTTGTAGCCACATGAATGTGCCATTACTGTGTTATAGTTCCTTTTGTATGTGCAGCTATGCCTGTTCTTTCTTCTGGAGATTTGCACTGTGTTCCTCTGGCTTCACAACAGCAGTAATACGAACAAAATGTATTCCCATTACTGGCCTTCCTTTCCTTGCTGACTTGAGAGAAACGATGATGCTAATATAGTTTATGATTCCTTGCTGTCTATCCTGATTAGGCCAGTACTTCTTGAGTCAAACCAAGGTGAAGCTTTCCAAATCCCTCTTTTCCCTGCAGGTGGCAGGAGACCATTGCTTGCTCTGTCCTTGGATCAAGATCACTGAGACCTGTCAGATAATTCAGCATTATTTTTCTGTTCTAGCAAAAATGGCACCTTATATGGCTAATGTTCAGAATTAGTTTCCCAGATGGTTAGCTTGCAGTTTGTAGCGCAGATGCTATTTTAATTTAGATCTGCATTCTAGTAAGTGAATGGCAACGTATCTTGGACATCAGCTACTCGCAGCATGGTTCTTTACCCCAATGTATCCAGCTGCAAAAGCATCCTTAAAGTTGCTGGCAGTGTGTATGCTAGAAGAAAGTTGATTGTAAGACAGTCACTTCATCTCTGGTGACCACCTGACTTTGTATCTTGTTTATCACTTCACGCAGAGATAATAAAATGACAAGTTGCTATGCCATTTGAGGGAGGTAACTCCTTCACTGTGTCCAGTGAGCTCTGAAATTTTGCAATCCACATCAAGAGACTGAGGCTTCAATTGACTTAAAAACCCTTGTAGTTGAAATGATGGGCCTTTCTCTTTTTGTACTTTTAGGAGAGATGCCAGGTGACTTGTGGTGTGCTTTACAGAAGGTAAAGAGTTACGGACTGAAGCAGAAATAGCTTGGGTAGATGAACGCACAGGGCCAGTTTTGTGTTGACTTTTTTTTGGTGACACAAAGAGACTGGTTCTGTAAGATGCTGGAGGGACATCTTATAGATTCCCAAAGGTTGGTAAGTTCCCGTGAAATTCCTCCGCTGTGTGGAGAGAAGACATAGACCTTCCACAGCCAGGCCAAGCTGCAGCAGAGTTTTGACTAGGCATTTGTAGAACATCTTGGATATGTACTGTGGAAGAATTAAAATATCAAGGAAATTGCTAGGTCAATGATTCTGCTACAGAGGTAGGAGTTTAGAAACCTGAAGCTTCGCTTAGGAGGAGAATGAGAACTTCGGCATGGGGACTGCATTGCTGTTCGCTCAAGCAGAGGAATGAAGAAAATGTCTAAGTGGGTGGGATTTTCCTTGAGATGTGAATGAAGAAAAGACAGTGAGAGTCTGGCTGCTCCTGCAACACAGTCAAAGAGCTCTGCACAGACTTACCTGTTGGTTCTCACATGTATTAGAAAGCTCAGTGGAAGTGTGCAAAGGCAGCCAGGTCTGTATGATTATTGGGATGGAAGAAAGTAGGAGAGATGTGAAGAGGAAGGTAGATGAGGGGCAAGTAAGGAGGAAGTGGCAGCTGAGGCAATGGTATGGCAAGCAGAAGGAGCACATCGCTTACATCCCCGTAAGAGGTGACTGTCTTTACAGATAGCTGCTGTGGTGAGCCTGGGTCTGTTCATGTCATTCTCATTCTTTTATGTAATTTGTGTTCTCAATGATACTGACTGTGTAGGCTCTGTGGCTTTTCTTCTTGCATATGTCCTGGGTTTTGTGGGCTGCATCAATCCTTCCTGTTAGGTTTTTATTATTTTTACCTCAGTCCTGACAGTAAACTGTAATTGAGTGGACAGTGCTCCTGAAACTGAAATGCCTTGTGAGGACAGTGGTTTCCTGAATACCTAAAACCACATCAGGTGGTGGGGAAAAAAAAACATGAGCCCAATGAAACCTATGAAGCAAGGATGTGTTTTGTTCTGTCTTGAACCTGCTGGTTTCAGGGTGTCATAAAGAAATGAGATTGTTGACAGGTGAAGGTTGAGGATGTGGGGCAGCCTAACACCTCATCATCAGTGATACCTTTCCTATTGATTCGACATCTAGCAACGCTCGTGCATCTTACACCTGTCACATGTTTCTACTTGCTAGATTTGTCCACAGCAGTGGGGCAATCTAACTTTTCTCTCCCCTTTTTTTCCTTTTTAAGGGAAGCTAGCAAACAACAGCCTACAGGGAGCAGCATTGCAGGGCAACACTTTTCCACAAAGAGGAAGAAATTGCTGTGCTCAGGTCCCCACCTTTCAGCAGTGATTCTGTGATGCAAGTTCCAGGAGTTTCTCTTTCTGTGACAATCTTCCCTATGGCCATTTCTTGCTGATGTTTGCCCCAGTGTTGGGCACAAGGAGGAAGGATGCTGAAGAATGGGTGCTCCACTTTTGGCTTTTAGAACATGGGTACTTGTGTAAAGGTATGTGGTTGCTCTTTGGTTGCAGGATGGAATATCTATGGAGGCCAGCAAAGGGGGTTTGCTGGTCTGGGAAGTCATGGCTATTGCTAGGGGGAAATATCTCATTTGAGCTTTCTGCATGCTGATGTCCGTTGCTGCTGCTGTTGAGATGACTGACAAATAACTTCCCTTTTGTGTTTGTTTAAAAAAAAAAAAAGAAAAAGCAGCTTGAATGCACAATGTAGCTTCTTACTAACTGAATGGTGACATGGCGAGCTATATTGTGTGCATTAGTGTATGCCAGGCTGTCTAATTGTCACACACGTTCCTTGCTGCTATCTGTGTCATATCAGCCAGACAGCATGTTGTTGTTCTGGGTGCGGTCTGTTTACTACATGTTTATTTAGCAGCCTTCTCACTGAGAACTTGATTCTAGATCGATGTCTCTAAAAATTGCTGCAACATTAATAGCCTACAAAACCAAGGTTTTAGCTTGTGTGTTGATCAGCCAGTTTCAGTGGTGAGGCTCCACTTTGCAGAAGTGAGTAGGAGAATACAGATGGACTGTTTTCCAGTTGCATTCATACTTTCCGTAGTGGAGTTACAGGGCAAAAAAATGGATTCTGCCCTAGAAGGAGTTTGTTTTGAACAAATGGGAATGATTTTGTCTGCAGTCATTTTATTCCATAGCTTCTTATTCTGAGGTTGCTGGTTGAGGGTCAGCTTCTGTCCATTTTAGTGGTGGCTCTGTACTGTGCTTTCATGGCAGACTAGAAGTTAACTGTGATTTGCAGAAACAAGTAGGTGTTAGATTTTGAATGAGTGACTTTTGGCCACTGCTGCCCAAGTTGGTAATTCTGCAAAAAGTAGCTCTGTCTTGCAGTACCCAGAGCCCGTTCTCACTGTTTTCTGAGGATAACGTTGTCCTACTGATAGCTCCTGATCTGAGGGGGAATCTGTGATGGACGAAGAACCGTTCATTGTAGCACGCTGTGTTGTTTGCATATTTCATAGTCTTATGGAATAATGCTTTAGGGATGTCCTTGGAAAGGAAGATAGATGATCAATAAGTATTTGTTTGAGGAATCATAAATTAAATTTAGGCCAGCATGTGTGAGGAAGAGTCGTTGGACTGGACTTGGCCTATTTTGTGTTCTAGATGCAGCTGTGATCCTCGGCTGTGTGTCTCACCGAAGGGACCTGATGTTTTACATTATTGGTAAGTGAAGGAAAGGCTGCCACTGTATTTGTTGACTTCTCCATAGGCATTAGAAAGGTTTCTTGAAAGCCTCTGCTTTTATGTTCAGAGTCTACATAACAAACATGAAGTTACTGTCATCCTGCACTCTGCCCTCCACCTGGAAGAATTTGCCTCTCCACCATTCTCGTTCCCGAAGTCCTTCCACTGATGTCATTCCTAAGCCATCCCCTTACTTTTTCTGTAGAGAACTAGTGCAGGATTGTTGCTTCCATGATGCTTCTTAGTCCAGCCTTAATGTGATGTGCAGGGGCTGTGTGGTTATATAACTGTTTCCTTGAAGGAACCTCTAGTTCTAAATTGCAACTAGTTTCCAAACTAGGTAACCAAAGGAGAGAATTATATGCTTCTGCTGAGACATCTGCTAGCCATACCTGAGACTGTGTATGACCTTTACTTATATCCTCTGTTTGCAGTAATGTGCAGAGTTTTAAGGGATTTGTTACTCTAACCTTACTTGTAACATAACACAAACCATAAATGTTCGCATAATAGCTTCTGCCTTAAACACCTAATTTGCAGTTGAGTAGATTGTCATTAATAAAAAGCATCTTGGGCTGATGCAGAAGGGATTTGGGTGCCTGACTCAGCCATGCTGCTGCAACCGCCTTCTGTTCTTTCCTTGCTGCAGGTGGGATCACAGTGTTTGTGGTAGCTTTCTTCTTCACCATTAAGTTCCTCTTTGAGCTTGCCGCACGTATAGTCAGCTTCCTTCAGCATGAGGACCGGGAACGCCGAGGGGAGCGAACTATTTATGACTACGTGCGAGGCAACTACCTGGATCCCCGGTCCTGCAAAATCTCCTGGGATTGGAAGGACCCCTACGAGGTGGGCCATAGCATGGCCTTCCGAGTGCATGTAAGGGAATATTTCTGTTTCCTTGCAGCTTTGGGTACAGTAACAAAGGTCTGAGTTAGGGATGGGCTTTTCAAATGTTTTTGTTTGGCCCAAGCTGGATGTAACCTAGGAGTAGGAAAGCTATCTGTTTGTCTTCTGCCCCCCATAAATGAGCTCTATAAGTGTGTACCTGAGTTCTGCACTCCTGAAAATCTCATCTCCCTCTCTTTAGAATCTTCTGAAGAGTCACAGGAGACCAGGTCTGTCCTATCTACTGCTTCCTTTACTGGGAAGTGAGTGGGCTGAGCCTTGTCTTCAGCAGACTTGGTGCAATCTTTCGGTTGTGCAGCTGAAGTTGGAAGCGTGGGAATGGGCATTTTACCAACCCAAGAGCTGTAAAGCTTCATGGCTGCTCCATATTCCTCCAAAATTGAGTGTTATTGTGTCTGACCTGGAAAAGCCTGCCAAGAATTTTCATTTCCTTCCAATCCCAAAAGGCTAAGTCTAGGGGAATGGGACAAGCATACATAAGATGGGTGAGGGGCCTGAACACTGAGAGTTTGAAGCTATGCGGAGAAAGTTTGAATACATTTTGCTGGGCTCATGTGTCCACCTTTCTACCCCACCTAGAAGGGTTTCAAAAACAGAAGAAAAGTTCAACTAGCTTGCCAAAGCCATCCTTCTCAAGAGAGTGAGTGAGGAGTTCTAACTCCAGGGCAGGCACTGCAAAAGAGCTGAGGGGAAAGGAACATGTTCTGTTCCTGCTGTTTAAATTTATTCTCTTCACCTTACTGAGTCTTACCCATGGCAGCTCCAGCAACATGCCCTTACACTTCATGTTTGTCTCCCATTTGCTTAGCCCTTTATTCATCAACAGTAGCTGTTGCATAGACTGGTGTCTTCTGCTGACAGTCAAGATACGTGCTACTTCAGGCCCCACACTCTCCCTTATTTAAAATAGGCAATAATTAGTACCCTTTAGCTGACTGCAGGCTGACTGCTGATGGCAGGGAGGATCTGGCCCACAAACTGATGGCTCTTGAAGAGCCATGCACATGAGTTTGGAGGTGTAATTCTTTCCTTCTAAGGTCATAACTGGTCTAGGTATATTACCTTCTGACGTTGTCTAGCAGATAATTTTGGTGATTGAGCTGCCTCTGATTTTGTCTAACACTTTGTTTTCCTGCTGATGTTTCTTATCAGTACAGATTGGGTCAGCTCCTTAGGTCAGCATCTTCTCCAGACGTTTTCTTTTAAGAAATCAGTGAGAGCTTTTTCAGAGCTGAAATGGACAAGATTTGCTTGTTTCTCTGAAAGGATGTGGCTTTGCTTTTTTCCTTTCAGTAGTAGAATCTGTTGGTTTCTGCTCTGATGTTGTGCTAATATGCAGAAAAGAAATGCCTAGAGGCATGTTCTTTTCAGAGCCCTTGTTTGAACCCCAGCACAAAAGAGAATGAGACTGTTCAGTGCCCGCTTGTGCCCTGTTCGCTTCAGAGAACACAGCCTGTATGACACAGCTGGCTGTTTTGTTTTTTTTTTTTCCTTCATTTTCTGGGCTGGGGTTCTTGCCCTTGTTTCCCAAAGGCAGATTGCTTTCTCTTGCTCTGTGCACTGCATACTTTTACTGACCTGGACTTCTCCATTTCCCACGCAGTTATTCTATAAAAATGGGCAACCCTTCCCTGCTCACCGGCCTGTCGGGCTGCGAGTTCACATCTGCCATGTGGAGCTAGCAATTGATATTCCTGTAACCCAGGAAGTTCTTCAGGAGCCTAATTCCAATGTGGTGAAAGTGGCCTTCACTGTGCGCAGGGCTGGGAGATATGAGATCACTGTAAAACTCGGTGGCTTGAATGTGGCCTACAGCCCCTACTACAAGGTGTTCCAGCCAGGTAAGGTTGAAGTGGCCCTCTAATGATTGAAAGTAGATTTGGAGGTGTTGGAGGCAGTTAGGTGAATGTGTTTCAGGCTAAAATAGGTATGTGACAGGGAAAGGGTTACCCATCATCATTTTCCTCTTGCCATGTGTAGATCCCAGCAATAGACCCATGACTAAATACTTGCAACTACTAGCACATGGCAAAATAGTAAATGCCTTACTGAATAAGTCATTAGTGCTGCTTAAACTCCCTAACCACTTGTCATGTTCTCTGTTTTGTAGTAACTCTTTCATGGTCCATCTGCTATTCAGAGAATGCCTTTTGTGAAAGTATTGAGTTACTTGTATCTGAATTGGAAATGCTATCATGATATGACTCTTCCTGTTTTGAATACCTTACTCTATTTCTTTAAGCTCCTGGAGCAGTTGGTACCTTTGATTATATGCTTCTTTGAAAACATTTTCTTACACAGTTGACATATTTTATATTTCATGTACATGTTCACCGAAAGCACCTCTATTCCATTGCATTGTGAATAGATGCAAAGCTTGCTAAGATGCCCCCTCAGAAAGAGGAAGCTTGGGTTTCACTCAGGTACTCTACACACTAGTTTGTCTGATAGGCTGAATATGCAGGTTTCCTGGGATGTCAGCCTGCTTGTGTCTTTTGTATGTGCAGTGGGAAGCAAATTCTTGAGCTGAAGGTTAGAACGGTGGAAAAAAAACGTGTTAGAGAGCTAGTAACTGTGTTTGCTTTATCAGTATTACGTTTTTGACTCAAGGCAAACCCGTGTATTTCAGTGGTCAGATACTCTGTATTTCAAATAAGTGGCATAGAATGTGTCTAGATTTGATCAGTTTTCAAGGGTATTGTACCCCTAGTTGCTTTTCCTTTGCTCTTTGTAGTTTCACCTTGGAATTTGCCTCTAAACTGTTGTTGTCTGCTTCAGGGATGGTGGTTCCCTCCAAAACCAAAATTGTCTGCCATTTTTCCACTCTGGTCCTGACCTGTGGGCAGCAGCATACTCTGCATATAGCTCCCAGAGATGAGTATGACAATCCCACCAGCAATTCTGTGTCCTTGGTAGATGAGCACAATTACAGCCTTTCCATCCATGAGGTGGGTGCAGCCTCATCCCTTGCTACTTGGCTTCAGATGAGCTAGAGAGACCCCTTTGTTAATTTGTTTCCTGTTTAGCTGGGTCCTCAAGAAGACGAGAGCTCTGATGTTGTGTTTGAGAAGTCTGTGGTGTCCAATCGGCAGACTTGTGAAGTGTTCTTCCGACTCACCTTGCACTGTAGAGGGTGTTTCCATGCCTGCATCTCCTACCAGAACCAGCCCATAAGTAATGGCGATTTTGACATCATTGTTCTAAGTGGTGAGTCAAGATTCATTCTCTACATCTCCTCTTACAAGATGCTTTTGCTGCACTCATGTAGCAGACTTCAGTGTGGCTTCTCTGCAGGCTACCCTTGCTTAATTGATCAAGGAATGCCTCTTTGTATAAAAGTGTTAAGGTAAATTAATTTCTGCTGACAAGGGAGCTCTCTAAGGCTGATACTCTGTTCCATTAGCAGATAAAAGCATGTGTGTGTATTTTCCCTTATCTCAGGAGGTTTACCTCAGAAATCAGGCAATATTTATCGCTTGCTAGTAGTTGACATCTGAGCCATAACAAAAGTGAGTCAGTCATGTATTGTATGTTAAGCCATGTGGATGAAGAACACGTAACTTACATGCTTTCTTTTTCTGCAATTTTATAATTCCTGGTTTCTTCAGGAGTGAGCCAGTCTGCAGTGTGGCTGTCATGTGGCTATGCATGCCTTCAGGCTGCTGCTCTGAGAGAGGGGCTCTGTATGCCTTTTTCTGTTTTTCTTCAACCAGTCACTGTAAGAAGCCAGGATAGTTAAAACTGCTGTCTTAAATGTATTCATCCCACTCCTGGGTTAAGAGTTTCTCTTGACCATGTTTTCCTATGGGTGTGTTGTCTTTTCTTTGAAATTAAGTTAATGGTGGTCTGTGGATTCTTTACTTTTTGATTTTGGTCTCTATTAAGATTTACACAACTCTTTTACATCTATTTCTCTCAGAGAATGAAAAGAACATTGTAGAACGCAATGTGTCCACCTCAGGTGTCAGTATTTACTTTGAAGCCTACCTTTATGATGCTCCTAGTTATACCAACACTCAGTGGCAACTTCCACCAATGCACGTGAGTTCCTCCCAGCGCCGTCCTTCTACTGCAACTGAGGATGAAGATGAAGATTCTTCTGCTGACAGCCAAACGCCTGAGAAAGTGAAGAAACCTAAAAAAGTGTACTGCTATGTGTCACCTAAGGTAGAGATCACAAAGTTGCCACTCTTGAGTGCATATTTAAAGTATACTGTAACTGAAGAGCTTCTTTGTGCCCTGTATCTTAGCTCCAGATTTAGGTGCCTCAGATTCGGTTAAAAAAGGTTTGCCTAAGGCTGGACAACAAACATTGAGCTCGTGACTGAGAATGATATTAAAATGCTCCTTGATGTTTTAGGGCTCCATGTGTCTTTCTAGGTCTGATCCAAAGCCTACTGGGAATTGTGTTGCTGATTGTTCAATGGATATTTCCTTTGCTCTGGTCAGGTCAGACCTGGCATTCCCTTTCTCAGTTTTTGATATCTATAGATTGGAACTTGGAGAGTCTCAGATTTTATGTCTTTGTCCTGTTTCTTGACTGTTTCAGGGAAATAAAAGGAAAAAAAAACGTATGGTCAGGGGACAAAGGGTAAATGTATAAGCAGAGAAGCAGGATTCAAGCAAGTCAAGAGAAACTGAGGTTTCTCTTATAGTGAGAATATGTTGACAGAAGCTATTGCCCCATCTTATTGCCTATGAGCATTCAGAGAAACTAGAAAGTAAATTCCACTAAATCTATGAATAAATTTAAATTCACTTTTTTAATCTGTTGATCTGAAAACATTCTGAAAATGCAGCAATATCAAAGAAAAAAACTAATCCAGGAACTGCTCTCTAAAGAGAAAAAGAGGGCTGTGAAACAGTTACAGGATAGAGGGTGTTGCTAAAGATTTCTAAATCTCTGCTGCATGCAGCTCTAAGAACTAACTTTGGGAATGAGTGCTGGGTCCTCATGAGCTCAGCATCCTTTGAATATACAGGTAATCGCTCTGGACTTCTATACTCTTTTGTCTTGTACTACGTAGTAAAGGAGATCACCAGAACTGTTGCAAGTTCCCTTTAGGTGCCAAAGTTGTTAATGTGATTCTGGTGCTTTTGTAGTTGAATCCCTGGATATCTCTAATATATGCCTAGGGCATCTCTCTGCACAGTAGATGACTGTTACTATGTTGTTATTTTTTCAAGGGGTTGATGTTCATATTTGCTTTGTTTCTGGAGAAATGCTGTTTTCTTTTTTTTTCCAGTCATTGCAGCTAGAACAGGCTTGTGCAGGAAATGGTTTTGTGTTCTGTCTAAAGATGCTAAAATTTCATCTTGGCTTGCTCTCCAGAAGGCGACAGAGCCACAGTTCCTAGTTATTTGTTCTGGCAGAAGTACACTGAGAAGAAATTTCTGCAGATCTCATGGGTTTAGCAATTGCTTTTTAAAAGCTGTTTGAAATGGTTGTGATAATTAGGGAGTAGTAGCAATAGTCCTGTTAGTGTGCTTTTTTCCAAAACCTTTTTGTCAGTGCGTTACAATCTTGTCCTGAATTCAGCCTCTCAAGTGTGCTTAAACATTACCTTCCAGTTAGACTGGTGATGTTCTGCTGAACACTGTTGTAAAATCTGTGTCATGCAGGGATCCCACATGTGTAATAAATATCAAGCCTTACAGATAAGTTCCTTACAGTTCTGTAAAGGTGTTTATGTATTGAACCAGAAGAAGGTATCACCAGATGTTGCAGAAAACTGCCCCTTGGGCTCAGGGAGTTCTGGCTTTATGGATCTGTCTTGCGCCTCGTGTTCCACGGTCAGCCCTTAGCAGATGCGTCACTTTTAACATCTTCTTCTCTTTGTGGTTACTCAGCAATTATCAGTGAAAGAATTTTACCTGAAGATCATTCCATGGCGCCTTTTCACCTTTAGAGTATGTCCTGGCACAAAGGTGAGCCTCTTCCCATGTAGCTGTCATTGCGTCTCCATGTTGTTAGCTTGTGGTCCTTGTGAATGATAGACTGATTTTTCCTTTTGGAGAGAAGGGTTTCCACCCACAGAGCAATACTTTGTTGGGTAAAATTCAACTCTGGAATTCCCTCTCAGTGCATGAATTCTGATATTTCTGAATAGGAGCCAGTTTTATCACTCCCTCCTGCCTCTGCTAGGCAAAAATCTTGATTCCTTTTGCATTTATCTTATTTTCCTCATAACCTTGCTAAAATGCTGTGATTGTGTCCACTGAAGCCCCTGGGTTAGGGTGTGAAATTTGAAGGAGCCTCCTAAGTAGAGTCTGAATGCTTGAAATAGTGTTCCTGTTAACTGCATCTGCATGGGTGAGCAGAGAAAGTCTGGGAATGCAGGTGGTGTTGCCCTGTCTATTGAATATACTATGCCTTCTGCACGATGGGTTTACCCTTTCTTGCATCTTTTTGCTGCCAGTTTTCATACCTTGGCCCTGACCCTGTGCACAAATTACTGACACTGGTGGTGGATGATGGGATCCAACCTCCTGTGGAGCTCAGCTGCAAGGAGAGGAACATCTTGGCAGCCACTTTCATTCGCTCTCTGCATAAAAACATAGGTAAAGGGCTGGTGAAGTGGGTACGGTAGCCAGGAAGTTAACACTTGAGCCTGCTAGTTTTCCTGGAGAGAAATGCCAGCCCTGAATGACCTCTGAGATTCTGATTCCTGGAGTCTCATGTTCTGTTCTGATTGGTGTTTCCAGTGAATTTATTTCATCGTGCCAGCTGTTCCTTTTCAGTTTGGCTTTTCTGTCAGGCTCTTTGAAAGCACACCTGTGAGTGTCTGAATGTCTACCAAGACTAACTGCAGACTGCCTTTAGAGTTCTGTCTCTAAATCTTCCTGCAATAAACTCAACCTTGGGCTGTAAACCCAACCTGTGCAGTTAGTCTTAGGAATGCCTTTTTAGATGGTGTTGACAGTTTAGGCCTGACCCAGATTGTCAATATTCTCAGGAGGCTCAGAGACCTTCCAGGACAAAGTGAACTTCTTTCAGCGGGAGCTACGTCAGGTGCATATGAAAAGACCTCACTCAAAGGTCACACTGAAGGTCAGCCGTCACTGTCTGCTGGAGTCGGTGAGTGTAACAGTCACTTTGCTGAAGCCCAGTGCTTCCTCCATCCTTTTTCTTCTGCTCAGTGCCTAAAGAAATTCAAGCTGGTATGTGCTAGGACAACCACGTAGAAATGATAAGTCCTTCAGTTTCAAGGCGGATGCCAATAGACAGCTTGAGATGGGGAAAAAGCAAAAAGAAAAATCTACCGGTAGCTCGTCTGTGTTCAGGTTTGTTCTTGCGTGGGATGCTGTGTTCCTGCTCTGCAGCCAGTAAGATTGGATCAATCTCTTAAGTAACTGGAAGCTTCAGCTCTGATAATTTTTTAAGGACCTCATCAGAGAGTAAATCGAGACCTGAGAGATGTCTAGGGTAAATGCATGCACAGTCTGAAAAAGCAGGAAATCTGCTAGTGCTGTTCTGTCTCCACTTTGTATTGGAACCTGACGCCCAGTGTGACACTCTCTACCTGGACCAGATTTGGGAGCAGAACCTAAAGCTTGTGAGTCTTTAACTGCTGTTTTTCTGGTACAGAGCCATTCAGTGAGATAAGCTGTCAAACCAGGTGTTACTGAGCTGGATGCATGAAACTCTTGCATTGACAGGCTTCTAACAGTGGTTTCAGTGTGATGAAAAAATATTCTGTGAAGTCTTTGAGCTAAGTCTTCACCAATGCTGACCTGAGCTGATGTGTCTTCAAAATCAAACTTAAGAAAGAGACATTCATATAATACAGTTCTTAAGTGCCATTCTAAATACTGTCTGCACAGGGCAGGCAGTTATCCTGACTTATTGTTTCCGCATGTGTCTAACAACAGGAATGTTATAAAGATGGAAAAGAACATTTCTGGGCAAAGCAGGAGTGATTTCCCTTGATTTACACTCAGTAAATCTGTGTTTTTGGAGTATTTTCTGCATACATGAGCTTGCAGTGTTTATGAGATTATGTTTCAGTTAATAGCTTGCTACGAAATTACTTCACTCATAAATAGTATTTCTATTTTGGAAATTTCTGCACTGTCATGAGCACTGATGTTACACCCTCATAAGACAAAGTAAATTAAGGTGCCATAATAATAAATGTAAGATTTAGTGTTCGAGGTTGACTGCTACAAATGTATGTGACCAGTGTGTTTAGCCCAGAGGTGTAGCTTCTGTGATGTTCTAACCTATTTGAAGATAAGCTAAGCCAAAGCTACCTGTGTGACTGAGGACTGCTGTGTAGCTTTTGTAACTTTGTTTAACTGGAATCCAGAATCGGGACACAGGAAGTTGGAGACACTTGAAATATTTTGTTACTTTTTTGCATTGTGACTTTAAGTATGAACGCACTGAACCCTTCAAGCTATTTTCCAATGCTTTCTGAAACGTTTCTTTTTTAACTCTAACTCGTGGGCTGTGAGTGCTTTACAGAAATTGCTCCTTCCCACAGGCATTTTAATACTGTACTGCAGCATTGAGAGGGATACATCTGTGCTGTGCTCAGACCTCACACTGGTTTTAAGATGAGCTGTATTTATGTGGATAATGTGTCTCTCATGATAGAAAATGAGGAATTTGCTTCTGTAGCTTTGGACAAAGAATTAGACCTTAGGAGTTCCTAATTCTCATTTTTATACTTTAGAGTACTAGACTGTTTCTTGGGTTTGTGTTGCTTAAATTGCCCATCCACATGCGCAGGATTGCATATTGGTTGTGGGGTTCTAAGCAGTAATGGCTGATGCTATTTTATCTTTTTCAGTCTTTTAAAGCAACACGAAATTTTTCTGTTTCTGACTGGAGCAAAAACTTCGAGGTGATTTTTCAGGATGAAGAAGGTGAGTTATCCTGCAAATATATTTGAGGAAGAAGTGATGGTGGAGTAGTTTTAGCCTGAAATTCTGGTTTCTTATAGTATGTCTATCCTTTGAGACTTTCCAGCCCTTTCACTTTCTCACAGATGTGAGTGAATTGCCCTTTTGGTGCTATTCTCTCCCTACTTTACATAAGGACCTAATGCCCAAATAAAAAATATTAGGACTAGATTTGGGAGCAAAACCTAGAGGTCTGGAGTCCGCATCTACTCCTTTTTTCTGTGGAGCTGTTCGCTGTGATAAGCGGTCATCTTGGGTAATACTCGGCAGCATGCATGAAACTCTTGAATTGATGACCCATGGATGACCAAGCTTGTTTTATCTCATAGCTCTGGACTGGGGAGGTCCACGCAGAGAGTGGTTTGAACTCATCTGCAAGGCATTATTTGATACCACCAATCAACTCTTTACCCGCTTCAGTGATAACAACCAGGCTTTGGTGAGTCTACAGTTCCTATGTGAAACACACAGAAATGTGTGCATTGACATGCTGATGGTTACATAATGATGCAGCTATTAAGTGGTGTGCAACCTTACCCATTCATTAGCTTGCCTGCACAGTCACTTCCAGTGCCTTTCTTGAAGCTTTGCTTCATGATGTTAACCCACTTGTTGTGGTTTAAGTCCAATCAGCCACTTGCTCACTCCCTGACACCCCCCCACCCCCCCCCCCCACTTCCTCCCCCCCACTCCCAGAGGGATGGGGAGAAGAATCAAAAGAATGTAACTCCTATGGGTTGAGGTAAGAGCAGTCCAGTAACTAAGGTATAACACAAATCACTGCTGCTACCACCAATAATAATAATGATAAGGGAAATAACAAGGGAAGAGAATACAACCACTCACCATCCACTGACTGATACCCAGCCCGACTGAGCAGTGATCTCGCCCTTCTGGGCAACTCCCCCAGTTTATATACTGGGCATGACATGCTGTGGTATGGAGTACCTCTTTGGCTAGTTTGGGTCAGGTGTCCTGTCTCTGCTTCCTCCCGGCTTCCCCTCCTCCCTGGCAGAGCATGAGACTCAGAAAGTCCTTGGTCAGACTAAAAATTACTGAGCAACAGCTAAAAACATTGGTGTTATCAGCACTGTTCCCAGGCTGAAAGTCAAAACCACAGCACTGCACCAGCTACTAAGAAGGAGAAAAATGACTGCTATTGCTGAACCCAGGACACCACTGAAGTATCAAAGATACAGAGGGAAGGCTGGGTTTCTGGGTGAAAGGAGGTGGCATCAGAGTGTCTAGAGGTTTTGTTGGCTCTGAATATTTCAGAATCCATTTATGCTTTCATGCAGCTTCTGGCCTGTGTGTGTGAAACATTTATTTATTTAATTCTTCCTAAGTAGGCTCAGGCATTTTATTTCTAGTGTAGTATCCCCAAAGCTTGTCTTTAAGGATACTACACTAAAGCTTCTGGCACAGCCTGCGAGAGCTGCAGTGACTCAAGCTGGTCCCATACTTGCTATTTGTGATAGTCTTGTCTGGTAGTTGGGTATTTCATTTTGCTGTTTCTTCCCAGGTACATCCAAACCCAGGCCGTCCCACATATTTACGGCTCAAAGTGTATGAATTTGCAGGCCGCCTAGTAGGAAAGTGTCTTTATGAATCATCTCTGGGAGGTGCCTACAAACAACTGGTTCGAGCTCGCTTCACCCGATCCTTCCTGGCTCAGATCATAGGACTTCGTATGCATTACAAGGTGAAACCTCTCAGCCTTGGTCTGGGGAGAGGTTCAACATTGGTGTAGTAGAAGCAGATCCAGAGTCCTGGTTAACAGTGTATGTTTTGTTGTTGGGCTTTTATTTTTGTCTCCTCCATGTCTTTTTCTTTCACACAGTATTTTGAAACAGATGACCCAGAATTCTATAAATCCAAAGTTTGTTTCATACTGAACAATGATGTGAGTGAGATGGATCTGGTCTTTGCTGAAGAGAAGTATAGCAAAACAGGACAGCTGGAGAAGGTGAGGGAGGCAGTACCTGGAGGTGGGACAATTTAACACCTTCTGCCTGTAGCAGAGAAGGCAGACTCTTGCCACTAGCTCCTTGCTTGGTTGAGAGTTCAGGTTTGGGGAATGCTGTTGGTCACATTCACACCGAGTGTTCTCCTGTTTTCAGGTGGTGGAACTGGTGACAGGAGGGGCTCAAATACCAGTGACCAATGAAAACAAAATCTTGTATTTAAATCTGCTTGCGCAGTACAGGCTGGCCAACCAGGTTAGAGAGGAGGTGGATCACTTCCTGAAAGGTAACATCATGTCTGCTCCCCACCTCATTCTGCCTTTATGTCCCAGGGCGTAGCACTTGCTGCTCTCCTCTTCTTTTCCAGGTCTTAATGAGTTAGTTCCTGAGAATCTCCTGGCTATTTTTGATGAGAATGAGCTTGAGGTAATTATTGGCTCCCTAAGCATCAATACCCTTCCCCTCCTCTCTGACAAATGGACCAGGAATAAAGCCTTTTAAACACTTGTAATTTGCACAGTAGCTGTTGCCTTGTTTCCCGGCTCCTGACTTTGACCGCAGTCTCTTGCCTTTCAGTTGCTTATGTGTGGTACTGGAGATATCAGTGTCTGTGATTTCAAGGCACATGCTGTGGTGGTAGGAGGATCTTGGCACTTCCGTGAGAAGGTAAATGAAAGGATTTCTCCCTCCTGCTTGCGAAAGCCAGTTCTTCAAACTACAACAGAGGACAGCTTAAATTGGGAACAGATTTCTTGGTTGGAAATCAGGCTTCTAGAGGATGAACTGGAAAATTGAGGAGTAGGACTGCATACATTATTTTGTAATGTTTAACCCTAGAGACATCCTTCAGCCTGGCTGACTAGAGATGATGCTTAATCAGTTACCAGCAGGTAAAAATCAGCAGCAGTGGTCTTTCTAAGAAAATCCAACAAAGCTCTGATTAAGAACAGTTCAGCCAGGGAATCAGGAGGAATCAGTGGGAATTATTGCTGCTGAAGATGTTCATGGTGAGATACTTATCTCAAAAGGATTCTTGAAGATCATGATTGCAGCCTATGTGAAGTGTTTGGGATTCAGTGCTGTGGTAAATGTTGTAGCCTAAATTTATACCTTGAATTTTCCCTATCCCTCCCTGCCTTTCCCACAGGGAAGGATATGGGAATGTTAGCAGCTTCATTTAAAAAAAATAACAAAAGCTGCCAAAACACCCAAGATGAAGATAGGTTTGGAGTATAAGCTTCTAGCTGTAAACACGGATGGTTCCACCTTCCTGCAAAAGTACCAGATGTTGTGGAAAAGCAAAAGATTAGCATAGTGTAAGAAGCAAATGAGCTTCTGCATTGTAAACTTACCTCATAACCTATGCAGGAACTTCTAAAAATAAAACCTCTGTGGGGAGAAGTCTTTCTGCTTTAAGGGAAGGAAGTGGTGGGAGGTAGTAGACATCTCTTAACTGATAAGAAATTCTAATACTTGCCTTTATGTGTCACCCAGGTAAAACAAAAGAATTTTTACTATGAGTAACTTGTTTACAAGGGCAAGTGACTGATCATCTTGCATCTTCCTTAGATGCTTATTTGATTCACTTGGCAGACCTGGCTTTGCTTTTCCTGTTTCCTAACAGGTCATGAGGTGGTTTTGGACCGTGGTCTCCAGTTTCACACAGGAAGAGCTGGCTAGGCTCTTGCAGTTCACAACTGGTTCCTCCCAGCTGCCTCCAGGAGGATTTGCTGCACTCTGTCCATCTTTCCAGATCATTGCGGCTCCAACTCACAGTACTTTGCCAACAGCCCACACTTGGCAAGTGTCCTGGGGTGGTAGGACTTTCCGCATTGTGGTTTTGGGAATGACACCAGCTTTAGTTTTGGTTGGCCAGCAGTATATAACATGTAATGTGTAAGATGCTTATGTCAACCCATCTAAAAGCAGCTGATGGGGATGGTCCTCTCAGTCTGAATGGAATTTTTCTCTTGTTTTCCAGTTTTAACCAGCTGTGCCTCCCTACTTATGACTCCTATGAAGAAGTGCACAAGATGCTGCAGCTAGCTATCAGCGAGGGTTGTGAGGGCTTCGGCATGCTGTGATTTCCCCTTTTCAGGTGGCCAGTTAACCTCCTGGCTCTTCATGGCAAGACCCAGGTTCAGTCCTATGCTTGTTCTCCTTCCCTCCACATGGGCAACGGAGGCAGAGCAAAGACTCCGTGTAAAGGAATTAATCATCCAGAAGATGTCACGTGGCCTTTCCATATCCCAAATATGTCATCAAGAGCTCATCTTTTCCTTTTCCCTCATTCTCCCTTTGGTTCAATGTGAAACAACAATTGACTATGGTGCATTCATCAAGGAGATATTGCACTTCATTTCCATGCACCGTGTAAGCCCATCCCTCTCTGAAAAGATGAAGTTCCTAAGCAGAAGTTACAATGAGGTGCAGGATATCTGCTGAGTTGCCTTTATTGTAGCTCTCTGAGAGGAAGAGGAAAGACCAGCATGGAGCTCTGCTGGAAACGTGGCTCATGGGAAGCCTTAGTAACTTCCCATGTCTTGGCTCAACTCCCCCAGTGATGCTCCCCAATAGCTCATCTAACTCTGACTCATGAAGAGTATAAGGTTGTCCATCCTTTCAGTACCTGACACAGAAGGGTTTCTAGTTCTTCTTGCTCTGGATGCTGCTGTCGCCTGTGCCACAGAGAAAAGTGGGCAGTATCCACTGAAGGGAGTAACCCAAAGGGGAGAACAATCTCATTGGAGCACAAGTGCTGGCCCTGACAGTGATCCTGTACTACCTCCACCAGGGTCTAGCAGCAGAAGCATCCTCCAGCAGTGGCTGGTAATGAGCCTCTGCAAATGAACTGGAAGAGGAGTTTCTCCTCCATTGAATGTTTCTGACAGTTGATGTTGCACAGAAAGCTGTCCTATGCCCTTGCCTTCTTTTCCCTTCCTCAGGAGAGAGAGTATGGGCATGAGTGTGATTCCTTAATGCTGAGCACCAATGCCTATCCCACATTCACCTTCAGGGTATGTATGTTATGTGCTAACAGTGATAGGTTGGTAAGCAGCTACAGTGTGCACTGGGCTTGTGTTTGTTCTTGGGATGGTGGTACTGGGAAAAACATGGTACCTCCACGCCATCATCCCACAGGTCTTGGCTTCTACCTCTATCATGCAGCAGCCTGAGACTTCACTACTGCATTTCAGGCAGAGTTTCCAGAGGGGTGCTGGTGCCTGGAGAGCAGCTGGTTTTCTGTCCTCCTGGTTTTCCTACTTTCTTTCTTTAGCTCTCTTTTCTTCCTGTTCTGTTCAGTGCTGCTGGCTTTCCAGCACATTATTAACTAGAACGTCACTCAAGTGGTCACTCAACAGACTGCACTCACCACTGGCTTGTGAGGAGAGGAGGGGGCAGATCAGCATGAGAAGCAAGCTTTTCATTGGGGTGTGTTGTTGCTGGCAGTCCCTTCAGCCCTTCACAGGGAAGTAAAGGAAAGGGGAATCTGGGAATCTTGATGAGTTCTTCACTGAAGTAAAATTCAAGATCCTCAAGTTCTTCACTGAAGTAAAATTCCAGTTCTCATCAGTCCTTTAGACAGCTCAGGTCAGGAGTCAAAGGCATCCAAGAGTCAAAGTGTGAGAAACCTGCATTGCTAGTACCTGCAATTCATAAGTTTTCGCTTGATTATGGAATTGGTGGATTTCTTCCAGAATGGAGTCTCAGACTGGCATCCCTGAGCTAATTTTAGAACACCATATTAGATTAAAAAATCACATCATCCTCTTCAGTCCCTTTCTGCTGTCTTCAAGCTGATCCAGATAGACTTCTGCCCAGTATGGATATTTTAAGACAATTGTGTGTGCTTTTCCAGTATAGCTTAGTTGAATTGACTGGGAAATTGGGGTAAATGTTGTACATCTAGAAAATGTTTTTAAGGCAGCATCTTGGCCATTCTTGGGCTATGTTATTTCCATACAGAAAAAAATAAGCCATTTTGGTGCCAAAAAGCAGCCGGCTGAATATTGAGACTACTCAGGGGGATTTCTTTGCCTTGTGAATTCATTCCCTCACTGGCACCAAGGTGCTGGGAGCCTGCCAGCTTCAGAGTTGCCACTGTTGTGCTCTGACAGATCACTTTAGTAGTGGCTGTTCTCCCATTTTTAGTGCAGGCTCCATTCTGCAAGGTCCTGACCTTTGGGTGGAGAGTTTGGTACCATTATATTTATACTGCAGGTTGCTTCCACAGCTCTTATGTTCTTTATGCCGCCACTTTACCCCTTTCTGCAGGGACTTGAGAGGAAGCGCTGGTGTTCAGCTTAATTCCTGTCTATTGGGAGGCACAGCTTGGTGCTGTTCCCATGTTGCAGTCTCACTTGGTGAGGATGTTTCCAGCCTTGTAGCTATGGGCCAACTCTGCCAGTGACACCTTCCTCAGGAATCTTCTCCCTTCTTCTCTTGAGCTGGACATTTTTATTCTGAGGATGAAGTAGCTGGACACTGGGCAGTCTTTGTCTACTGGAAGGAGCTTCTAAATACTTCTCATTGCATTGCAGCCAGCACCCCATGCTTCCCAGCAGCTGTGCAGATGTCAAGATCTTTCTCAACAGAAGTGCACCCAGAAGTGTGATGGGTGCTGTTAGTCAACTAAACCCATCCCCATTGTTTCCACAGGGCTCTAGCCAGTCCTGTCTTCCTGAGATCCATCAAGGTGTTTCTAAACTTGTCTCTAACTTTATACCCTTTCCCAGTAAGGTCACTTTTTATGCTGCCCTTAACACTAGTTAATGGGGATGTGCTTTGGTCACTTATACTGTATGTTACTTCTGGCAGAGGCTCGTTACTTTTATTTTTATTCTTTACTTATTCCCACTTGGAGGCCCTTCTGCAGAAATCTTTAGGATCCTGGTATCATCTCAGAGAAGTTCCATGTTTCCTGAAGCTGCTTTGAGGTGCAGAGGGCCTGGCTTTCACCCTGCACCTGCAGGTCATGTTGCATGTTTTTAGAAACCAGGAGCTGTGGATGATACAGGTCAAATCCTAGTTCCCTCTGATGAGTTTCTGGCAGAGTTCAGCCAAAATTTGGAAGCCTGTGGTTGCAGTAGCTGATTTTGTAAATAGTTTGTATAATAAATAAAATATTTTAAAAATGCTGCCTTCTCAGCTTGGCATTCTTCTGGGGCTGTACAGAGGGAATAAAACTGGTGAGTGCTGCCCATGGGTGAGGGGACTCTTCGGGTGTCTTGCTGAGGTCTGAAGCATGAGGGAGAGGATGGTTCTCCACCTGCAGCCTCTCAGGATGACTGACTGAATCCAGGATTTCTGGGTTCAGAAGCTTCTGGGGACATGCAGGACTCTGCAGTAGGCTGGAGCAGCTGGTAATGCTGGAAAGTATTTTAAGGACTCTTTTATGTTTGTCATCTTACTATGTATTACCTGACTCTGGGCTGCTTTATACTGCTTGTGCTTCATCTTGCTGTCAAGAAGGTTAGATGAAGCCAGGAGAAGAGGGGGGCATTTGAATCCTTTGCACCTTTTTAAGTTATACAAAATGCTTTCAGTATGTTTGGTGAAACCGTGTACCTGTAACTGTCCACTAACAAAAACAGTCATTAACAAGTTGTCAGCTTGTTGCCTTCAGAGGCAATGTCCAATTTCTGTGATTCTCTGAGCTTCCACTATTTCCAGCTCTGACAAAAAGCATTCAGTTTATCACGGAATTTCCTTGGATGGATTGATTCATTTTAGCTTAAGGATTAAAATCAACTTTAAAAGCTGAGAAAATTCTGCAACATGAGTCAGCCCATTAGCATTGCTGCCTGTAGAGAAAAGATTTAGCCCATCTTCAGCCAGCATAGCATTACCTGGCTGCATGTATTCCACCATACAACTAGGCAGATGTTCTTGCACATTATGAAACTAGCATCTAGCCTTGATTTTTGGCTTTTAATCCACGAGCACTAACTAAATAAAGCCGTGCATGCAAGTCTCAGGGATGGCCTCTGTAGTGTTGTGCTGGATGATGGTATTATTTAGGAGCTCCTATGGAGCAAAGAGCTGCCTTATGCTGGGTTTGGAGAAGATACAGGTTTGATAAGGCAGTGTTGAGCGTTAAGAGAAATCCAGAAACAGGTTTTGTTGCCCCCTGGAAATAGAAGAGGTTGTGAGTAAAGCTGCCTGAGTTGGGGTCAGGGTACTAAAAGGTGGGTGACTTCGCAAACATGGCATGAGCAAAATGATACAGCAAACCATATGGACATGTCCTCACATGCCATAACCAGTGTTACTCATGGGAAGGGGGCCAAGTTGAGGCTGGAGTTTTCAGAAACTATCTGTTTGGGTGTGAAGGAGAGAGGTCAGCATGCTGGATTGCTTTAGCATGAAGTAGGTTCTAAAGTTTCTGCTTCTCTTTGCAGGATGCATGATATCATCTGGCTGCCCACATTGTGCGTCCTGATCACCAGTGTCTTGTGATGTCTTGGAGAGGGAGTGGGGACAGTGGTCTGTTGCTGACTTCACAGCCTCTATTTATCATGGCATCTGGCATGGACTTAGGGCTGGGAGAGAAATCATGCCTGTATGCTTCATGCTGAAATCCTACATGCCCCAGCTTGTGTCTCCAGCAACAGTGATGTCTTGGGATTCTTGTTGCCACACGTGGCCACTTGATGTGAGATGTGCCAAGATGTGCTGCTTGGGAAACTGGATTTTTGTGCATTCAGCTTTTTGTTTGCCTCACCTGTAGAACTGCTGCAAAGGAATTTCTTCAGATACCTGAATGAGAAAATGGAGAAATGATGCTTGATTTGGGTAAGAGTTCTTGCTTTCATAGTGTTAAGGCTGAGTTGAACCAAGCTGTAACTCCTGGTTCCCATAGAGAATGATTATATTTTGCATAGTTTTGGCTGTTCTGCTACCATCGTGTGTCTGACTGACCTGGCACACGACAGCAGAAAGAGTTTGAACATGTGATTATGGGAACTATAAAAGGAAAACACGGGAAACAGCAAAGTCCATCAGAATATCAGCCTGTCTTGGCATCAGCTGTATGATTTAGAATCTGAGACTAGAATCTTCCTCTTAAAGTCTTTCCTTGTTTGTTTTTGGTTTTTATTTTATTTCGTTGAATGCGTGAGAATCCCTAATCTCTGCTCTCCAGAGCATGAAACTTGATTGTAGGAGGGAGGTGTTACTGCATGAATGTGTTCATTTTTAGATATAATTTGCTATAAGTTTTTTTGCAGTAAAACAAAACAGCTGTAGCTGAAGTTCACCCAAAATTCCTGATCAGTCTTTTCCAGCTACCCTTCTGCAGGGATGGCGTGCTACAAAGTGTGTTGAGGCGTGGGCAATTGCACACGGGGTTGGAAGTGGGGAGTGAGGCTGACAGCCAAGCCCCTCAGCGTGTGTATAAAGCTGCAGTGAATTCAGATGAAGGAAGCAGGGCTCTTGCACCATACGAGGGATGGAGAACTGGAATTGGCCTAAGGCTGCTCCAGAGTGCTCTCTGAGGCACACGAAAGCCAGAGTGAGTTCGGATGGTTTTGGGGGGAGTGACTGCAGTGGCCAAAACCAAATCCATCTCCCTCTAGAGGCAATTCTCTGATAAGCTGCAAGAAGTGTGTTGGCCCATACCCACCCCTTCATTTTAGGATTTGTGTTGACATAATTCTGAAGGCCTGTAAACTCATGCAGTTTTCTGAGTAATCTTTAGAAATCTCAACTTGTAATAGAAGGAGCAGCTACTTAGGGCTGCCTTGTGCTTCAGTAGCTGAAGTGTGAGGTTGCCTCAAGATGAGATAGTGCTGCTTACGGCAGGGGATGAAGAAGCACAAGGAAATACAGTTCTCTACAGTTCTCTGCAGTCCTCTTGGAGGATGATGAAACCAACTCCGGGGTTTCGCGTTTGTCTGGAGAAGCTGTTTGCTGTGTAGAGGCTAGCTCAAATTTGCAGAGGCCTTTATTACTGGTGTGGAACAGACTCAGGCTCCTACTGAGGGAAAACTGGCAGCCCTTTTCCTTGTCTGTGACTAGGGCAGTCAGCAGCAGTATGCAGCCTTGCCTCTCCTAGGCCCTTTTATACAGGGAACAACACACAGTAGACTGGTAGTGATTGTAGTCATTGCTGAAACTAAGGTTTACAGTACAAGAATGTCACCTAGGTATCTTCTAGTAAGACACTGAACTATTGTCTTTGCACTGTTTCCTCACCCATTAAGAGCATCTTGCCAACTGCGATCTCTTAGGCTGATCAGTATTGCCTTGTTTCCTTCTGCTCGCTCCCTTCCTGTTCATCTTCTGTCCTTTCTCTTAATCTCATTCCCATTCCAAAGAGCAGACAGTCTCTCTGTGTCCGGATGTTGTATAGCTCCTTGCACAATGGGGCCCTGTTTCAAGATGGGGGGGGGGGTCTTAGTGTTACACAGTATTGCTATTAAAATTGAGGGCCTAGTTGTTGATAGCCATAAGGCTGTCAAGTTGGAGGGACTCAGCAAATGCTGGCTGTTCTGGTAATAATGGATCATAGAATGGTTTGGGTTAGAAGGGACCTTAAAGGGACCTATCTAGTTCCAGCCTCCTGCCACAAGCAGGGACACCTTCCAGCAGACCAGGTTGTTCCAAGCCCTGTCCAGCCTGGCCTTGAACACTGCCAGGGATGGGGTATCCACAGCTTCTCAAGGCAACTTGTTCCACTGTTTAAAGTCATTCCCCCTTGTCCTATCACCACCTGCCCTTGTAAAAATCTTTCTTTGCAATGAATCTTTTCCTTTTTAGAAGACTTTCATGGCATCTGCCCTGGTACCCAGGTCTGCCTTGCTTATAGACAGCTCCGTGGCTGAAGCCGTGCGATCCGTAAGTCCTCGGAGCAGAGCCGTGCTGCCCGGGCTCAGGGATGCTGCGGGTGTAGGGGCGGGCAGCATTGCGGCAGCTCTGTTATGCTGACGAGCGGTGACTGCGGCTGGTTGGCCACGAGAGGGGGGCCTATAGTCGAGCTGCTCAGGTTTAAGAGTGCCTCTCTGGAAACCCTGCAGTTTGGGTCCCTGATGGCTGCGTGTTGAGGTGCCTTATTTGTTTCGTTCAGCAGGCCCCTTAGTCTAGCAGACGAGTTGGCTGGCAGATTCCCTTCCTGTGCTTATAATTCCCAAACCGGGGCATACGAGAAGTGAGCATCTAGGGAGCATACCCTGGTTCCGCACAAGTCCCTGTTGTGCTGCTCCTGCTTGCCCTTTTGTTTTCCAACAGGCAACACATTTAAAATGCATGAGAGGAAGTTGGATTTACAAATGTATGATTAACCTGCAGCACTCTTTCTCGGGAGACTGAGGACAGAATATGTGTTTAATATGAGCAAACAACAGCATTAACACTAACCAGATTAAATATGTTCTCTTAGGCTTTGAGCCACAGATTAGACATCGGTCTGTGAGAGAAGAGGGAGTTTTAAAGTATGGACCAAGAAAGCAGAATTGAGCTGATATGCAGAGGGAACTGATGTTCTGTCTTTAATGCTTATTATAACAAAATGGACTCCTTTTATTAACTGCAGACACCACTGGCCTTTCCATAGATCCTGGAGGGATGGAAATTGGCATGAGTTTGGCTGAGTTGCAGTAGGTGACTGGAGCAGTGCAGCGGTTCCAGGGACAAGAGGGCAAAAGGACCATGATGCCACCCTTAGGGGGCAATTGTCCTGAAGTGGTCCCTGCACAGGTGATGGCTGCCTTGGGCACTGTCTTCATCAGGTTGTTTTTGAGTAGAGGTGGCAGTTGGCAGTGTCAGTAGCCTATTGGAAGTATCTTTGAAAGGTGCCCTGGGAATGTCTTTCTAGGAGCTGGCTTTACTGTCCCTCAGCCCCTCTGGTTCCTATTCCTGAGCATGGCAGAGCTGCGATTTAAGTGCAAAGTGGCAGGATTTCAGAGGAGCCACATACCAAACACATTAGTGAGGTGTAATGCACTTGATGCTGCTGAGCCAGCTCAGGCCTGAGACTGACCTTGACAGATCTGCTACGCAGCAGTGTAGGGAGCAGAGAGGAGGGCATCAGGTCAAACATTGACAGCAGAGGGGAGGGGGGTGATAAAGAGTCATGGGGCTAGTGCTGGTGGACCCAAAAGGCATTTTTAGATTCTAGTGCAGAAATGCTCATGGATCAGAAGGCATTTCTCAGAAGGACTCCCACTACTGAAGTGCTTGGTTCCATGCTGGAGTTTCAGGGTTGTGTGATGAGGTCGCCTATGGAGATAGATAGAGGATCAGAATCTGATGAGTTTGTGGTGTTGAAGTAGAAGTTTATAAGAGGCTGAAGGGTGCTGAGGAAACGCACAGCTCCTCCTGATCCCTTTGTCTAGTTGAACAAGGTCAAAGTGACAGGCAGCTGGGATTGAAAGGCAACAGGCACGTGCTCTGCAGATGGACTGAGGAAAGCAAGAGCTTTTCTCCTTGTCCTCCTAAGGGTACATAAGAGTGTGACATGGATGTAAATAATGAAAACATCCATGGTTAAATAAGATTTAAAGCAAACAAACCTTCCTGCTTCAAGGCCAAATCCTGCCTCTGACAGAGAGAGTTAGAAAGGAGCTTGCTTGCTGCTTCTCTTGAAGCTAGCCACTGTCCTGTGCAGGATGCTGACCTGGAGGAGTGTTTGGCAGCTGGTGGCCCTAGGCAGGAAGAGGAATGCTGAATCTGCTTTAATCCTGTCATAGATGTCATGCTAATTAGGGCTGAGCTAATTTAATACTAGAATAGGAAACAGACAGATCCTTCACAGAACTGGGTGTTAACAGCTTTTCTAGAAGCCCTCTCCCATTTAGGAGAAGGCCACCCTCAGCATCCTGCTGTGCCTGTAAGAGGTGCACAGAGAAGGGGCTCTCCCTTGTGCCCTGTGGTTCCAGTGCAGCACCTACCATGTTCCCCATGGGTGTACCACTGGGTATAGAGCCCTGCCAAATATGGTAGAAATCTTTCATGTGCTTCCAGAACTTCTAGGTGTCTGCTATTAGCCAAATTTTGGTAGTGTTGTTTTGTTCCCTGGATAGCTTATTTCCTTTGTACTCTGAGCTGTTGGATGGATGTGAGGTGATGACAAAGCCTGAGCCTGGAAGGGAACTGTGTTGTAGTGCTGGGCCAGGGCGCCCCATATCTGTGTTCTTACATGTCCTAGAGCTGGCAGGCTCATGGCAGGGAGTGTGTGCTGCTCTGCCCTGCCAACATCTGCCCTATGCCCTTTTCAAACATGAACCTTGCTTGTAGATACAAGAGCACCTTTTTCCCCTCTGTGGCCTCAGCATAGCACAGACTCAGAGGAGGAAGAGAAGGGTTGTATCCCAAAGTCCATCTTTGGTGAGCCCCATGGAGAGGTGGATGCAGCCCTGGTTTCTTTTCTGCCTTCTCACCTTCATCCCTCTCCCTGCATCTCATCCCCTGCCCTGTTTTCTTCCACTATCACTCAGTTTGCCCATGTGGCAGTGGAAAAGACGAAGTGCTCTGGTGCACTCTGGCTTGGCCTTCTCCCTTCATTAGAAACCTTCACAGGGAGAGCTCCCTCCTCAGTTTTCTCTGGCTGCCTTTTGCCTTTCTAATCAGTCATGGTAATTTACCCTGGCACTGTTTGGCAGGGGCCGTACCTTGGCATCATGAGAAGCCAGGGTCAGCTGTCAGCCTCTGAGCCATGAGCCTAATGCAACAGAACAGATGTAGGTATTTTTTCCAAGTTTTCCCTGGGCAGCAGGATTAAAATCTCTGTTCTCAGCTGGGGTCCCCGGTGTAGTCACTTCCCTCTGTGTTACACAACACCCTATTAAGAAGAACAGCACAAACATGTTCATTGGGATCCCTTCCCCCAACCCTGGAAGGCCAAGGCACAAAGGCAAGGGAGGTTTCCAAAACCTGAAGAGCTTATTTGGTCTTGAAGCTCTGGGATCCTCCTGCCTGGGTTTTCCCCTGTGAAAGGACCCTGCCACTCTCCACTGTTCTCCATTCTTGTGCTGCCGGGGTTAAGAGGAAACATGGAGGGGAGATGGATAAAAGAGCAGTGGGGTGATGTTCGTACATCCCTCTGACTGTGCGCAAACCTGAGCGAGTACCAATGGGGGAAGAAACCAT